GGAGCATTTTCCCCACGTAAAAAAAAAAAAAAAAAAATTGTTAAATTATGTTGTATTACATTTCAAATTATATTATATTTTAATAATGAATTTCAACAATGAATAATATAATATCCGACATAAACAATACCGTGCTAATGATTTTGTTTTACGGTCTTGTTATGCAAATTTAAATTTATATACTATATTGCAAAATAAATGCTGCAATTGTATATATTATATTATATATAAAATTATATATAATATAACCCTCCCATGGGGTACACCTTGTCGCGGTGGGAGGGCTTAGTACTTGGATGGTGTCTTGAGATTTATCTTAAATTTTTTTACTTATGATAAATCTTAAGGTGCTTGAAAGCTAAGTACCCTTTCGCGTCGTCGGTGCCGTCAACGTGCCACGGACGGCAAGCGTTTCGTTATCGCGTTTTCGCGTTATAGTATTCTCGCGTCGTCGCGTTTTCGCGAAACTTTTGGACTTTTTCATATAAAATCCCAATTTCATTTGTTGTCACGAGTCTCTACTTTCGATGCCAACTAACTGGGATGTTTCGAGTTTGCACACGTTGCTATGCAACGTACACTCTTGCTTCGTGCTTCGTGCTTCGTCAAATGATTCGGCCCGAATTAGTTAGAACTCGATCGATTGCTCGGAATGGTCGTCAATGGGTCCCTTCTCTTTTCTCGTCTACTCTACAGCCACACGCACTGCGTGTGTTAACCCTGTCGAGGAGTCGAGTGGATTCCCTTAAGCATGATTTTCGCTCGGTAAAAGGGGTTGCTTCCCCATTTTTTAAATTGCTGAATGTTAGCATTTAAAAAATGTGGTATCTTCTTCTTTTGCCGTCTACCAGCCTGGTGTAGCCATATCCTGCATTGCGGGAAACTTCGTGTTCCGGGCGAAGCACCTGAAATCATGCTTAGCGGGTCCAGATTCGATACGAGATAGGATAATTATGCGCGAAAAAGAGCTGGTGAACTTTATTTTCCTCTATTCCGTCAATCGTTTCGTCTTCTTTCCGATTCGGGCCTAATCTTTGCTCGTTGTATCGTTGCATTCCCGATCTGTTGGCTCGAAGTAGATTCTTGTAAATGAAATGGTATTTTTGCTCGTACCGAAACCGGGAGTGTCGTTGAAAGTATATATATATTAAATATATACATCGCGCGATCAATTTTTAATCGTAAATCGAAATAGTGCGGGAGTGCCGTTCAGTATCGCGCGTAAAATAACGAAAATAGCGATATAAAAATATCGCTCGTGAGTGCGGGAGTGCCATTGAAACTATCGCGCATCAACAACATGAGAGGAGGAGGAGGCCTGGGAGAGGCATCTTGCATCGGCGGAGCAACCTGATGGTGAATATTTATTATTTGTATATCAATTATTATAATTCGTACGCATAATAATTCGATCTTATTATTTAAATGAATTAAAGAGAAAATTAGAGAGAAAAATTTTTATAAAAGTTATATAAAACTTTCTAAAAAACTTCCTTAAAAAACAGTTTTAAAAATTTATAAAATTTTTCCACAAGTGTTTATCTCTGTTTATTATTTTACACATCGGATATAAAATTCCGCGTCATAAAAATTTTTTGAAATATTGATTGCATTTTATGAGCATTAATATAAATAAATTTTATATTTATATGTTACAGACAACGTAGCTTCGATAACTATAACTCCGCTGTTGCGCATCAGTGCCGGTGAGTGAGAAAAACTTTTATTTAACTTTAAGGTAACGAATTCGTAGAGATTATAAATGTAGATGTAGATGTAGATTGTAGATTGTAGATAAATTCGTTGCCTTAAAATGGATGAGCTAGAAGAAATTAAATTAAATAACTTTTAATAAGTTTTTTCGAAATGATTTGCATCTATTGAGGAAATATATTGAAGTATTAATTAAAAAAAGAAGATCAAGAAAAGTTTTTTTTTTTTATATTGATTTTGTCTAATTTAATAAATAAAGAACGCGCATTAGTAATTTTATCAATTTTTGAATAATTTATTCTTATAACGCGCGCTTACCTTCTAATTTCTTGTAGCTCATCCATCGTAGAATTTGTTTGTAGATATTGTTTTATATTTAGAACGATCGTAAAATTGAACGATCGTTCAATGATGATGAGCGTGAAATATTTACGCTCATTTGCTGGTAATTAGCCAGCAAAAAAAAAGTGTTTATCTCCTCTTTCGATCTCTGATTAGAGATCGAGTGAGAAAATGGCTAGGATCAACGAAAGGTCGGTTCAACTGGCCTGAAGAAAAGTTCGCATGCGGTTAGGGAATGTAATTGGGCTTTGATTAAAATATATATGGTTAAAGATAGGTTCTCCAAATCTCAAATAATTTTAGTTAATCAGGAAGTAGGGTTGTTAAGATCATAGAATTGTTAAGGCTCATAGGGTTGTTAAGATTGTGAGGGCTCATAAAGTTGTTAAGATCATTATTCCTTTCAATTCTTTTAACATTCCAAGTTTAGGGATAAATTAAATCTATTTAAAAAAATTAAATTGAATTTATTCTTTAAAATGATGTAAAAATAAATATAACATGTTTTAAAAATAAAAATGTTTTTAAAATGAAATTTAAATTATTCAAATTATTTTTAGGCATATTAACGAAATTGCATAATTACTAATGTTTAAAAAATATCTTAACAGGTTATATTTTATTTCAAAAATTAAAAATGTATGTATATTAAGTTTAATAATATTAAATCCAAATGTGTGTCAAATGCTGTCAATATCTAATTATTTATGTTATTAAACATTTGCATAAATCGAATATATTTATTTGATAACATCATAAATTGTATCTTGTAAATTGTATTAAATTAATATATTTATTTCTATAATATATATATTTTTACAATATTTATAAAAGACTAACTGTTGTAACTGTTGCTTTGTAACTGTTGTTTCATATCAAAGAATCATTAATAAATTCGGAAAATTTTTACATATAAATTGTAGATATATATGCATACATATTAAGATTAAATTATATATTCTATATATATTTATGTTATTATTTATTATTATTTACATTTATATATAGTATTTATATTTCTTTGTATTAATATTTTTTAATTTATTCATCATTTATTTTATTTATTTTATATAAAATTATTATCTTTACATTTAATAGATTTATACATATATATACCGACATAATAATTTTCTTTCTTGTGTAATTGCATTTGTATTGTTATCAATTATGCTTATTACTTTAGCAGTTATAATATTTCCTGAGAGAGGTGTTATAATATTTCCTGAGAGCGTACAGCGGATATTTCAAACTATGCGATGTCCTAAATCTCTCTTTAACAGTACCTCGTCGATTACAATAGCATACTATATGCTGTGAAAAGTAAAGACTAAATCATTATTCATTACAATATCAATGATATTTACTTCATCGCTTTATCGAAATATTTAACAATTTATGATATAAATTTATATGTGCTAAATATTTTTATATTTTAAGTTATAATTTTAATAAATAAGCTATCATTATATATAAAATCTGACATTTATTCAAAGAATAAAATTTACATTATTGTGTTTAAGAAATTATATTGTTATAATTAATAGACGAACATATATACTATTCATAAATATATTATAATAGTTTACATAATTTGCATTGCTAAGTGAAAAAAATGTTTTTATGAACATTATGTAATAAAGAAATGTAAAAAATTCACTTATTCTTAGATATAATTCTGAAATTTATAGAAATTTATAAATCTGATCTGCATATGCCACTAAGCGAGCTCGAATCTTCTTTAAAAAGGTTCAAATCTTTGCTAAGAAAATTCGAATCTTTACTAATTCAAGTACAACTTTTTTTGCTTATTAGAATGTTTCACTTCACATGGAATATATATATCACGATAATACTTTGTTATATTACTATTATTTTGACATGTTAATTTACATGTAATTAATTACATATAGACCTTAAATAGCAATTAATAAATTAAAAAAGTGTATGTATTAGTACATGATAAAATTGTTTGATTGTAAATATGCTAATTTTAACTATCAATTACATTATTATATCGCATTATACAATTATTTTCTTTTATTTAGAGTCGAATAATGGCCAGGGATGGCCACGAGGGGTTTTTAGTTGGTATGCCTCGCCGCATTGCATAGCGGCGGGGAGAACCCAACACTACCCCGGCCGGCATGATAGACCGTTTAAAAAAAAAAAGAGTGTATATTTGATTTTGTAAAAGACTCAGAGTAGGGTAGAAACGTCGTCGACAGTAAATTTTAAATATATATTTTTGCGCTCCTTATTGTATGTAAGATAAATAACTTTACAAAATTTCTATCATATATTATTAATATCATACATCATTACCTGTATCTTTGATTCCTAGCCTTCTTTTGCTTCTTATTTTATTTTAAGAAAGAAATTGTGTAACATTATAAATTGAAATCATAAATCATAATTATACATACACACATTTATTTATATGAAATTTATTTCATGATAATTCTGAATTATTTATTTAACTCTCAATTAGTTTTTAATAATAAGTATTTCTTTGATACAATGCTATATTTTTTGCTATTTTTTAAAATTTTGAAGTAAAGGTATTATTAAAATTTACATTAGCTAAAAGTTATGCACTTGTATTCTTGAAATATAATTAATTAAAGCATTTTTAAATCACGAATCTCTAAATGGCCAATTACTAACATAATTATATACGCTAAATTAATATTTTAAAAAGTGCAGCGAAATTATAGTACAAGTATAAAAAAATTAAACAAAAAATATACACTTTTCGCTCATAATAAAATATTTTTTATTTGAAATTAAAGCTTAGGATTTAAATGCGTAAAATTCATCCCTGTAATCGGTTATGGTTGTCACTTTTATCGGTGCTTTACGTTCAATAAAGACGCGCGTGCGCCCTACACTAATCTGGTATGCCCTGCGATACTAGAATCTCACAGAGCTAGTGTTCAATGGTAAGAGTGCATTTTCTTATCACAATAATATTCTTCTTTTTCTACTTGTATAATGTGACCTGTGACGCGTGGAAAATGGATGAATTTACTTGAAAATCCTCTGCTTATTTTGCATGATTGGTGTTCAATTCGAAGACGTAAAGTGAAGATACAATCGAGGAGACAAGGAGGAAAACGAAAAGACAGAAAAGTGGATGGAGATTTAACGTTGTCATTACTTATGAAGGTTTTACATAGATTTTTTAATTTTATTTATACTTAAATATTCTCTAAATAGTTTAAATTTTATTTAATGTCTTTTTTATTTAATAATTATATATATATATATATATATATATATATACATTTTATTTTCTGATTTATATTTATTTTATTTATCTGCATATATATATATATATATATATATATATATATAAATATAAATTTACATTTATATTGTTTTATAATTATATACATACATACACATATATCCACATCTGTACATACATGCATATATAAATACATATATACAGTAAGAGAAGATATTAAAATATATATTATGTTTATTTTGGAATTTAATTAAAATTTAAAACTTAGTTAGATTTAAATAAAAATTAGTTAGAATTTAAAATTTTTGTTATATATATATTTTATTTAATAATTTTATATATAAATATAATTATTAAATATAAAGATATTAAATAAAATGAATATTATATATATATATATATATATATATATATATATATATATATAATATGTCCTTATTATTTCTTACATTCTTATACGTGGAACATCACAATAATTGGCCCTAATTATAACTTTATCAATTATAATTTACAGATGAGAGCACTAGACACAATCATGAATTCAACCTGTGCTTATTGTACGCTCGAACCACCCCCTGATATCCTTCATATACCACCGCCACCATTTCCTGCTATTCTTCAACAAGGTTCCGATTTTTACCCAAGTTCTGACATCCTGCCATTTCCACCGCATTTAAATGACAGTCCCTGCAAGCATTTCTGCGATCGGCGCTCCGAAGGAGTTCAATATATAGAAATGCCTCAACAAGGTTGGTGAAAAGACCAAATATTTATTTATTATAAAAAAGTAAGATTTACATAACTAATATTTATGTATTGTTTTATAAAGAAGTTAATACGAATGATTAAACATAGAAATAAAATATGTAGAATTTAAATGTAAAAATTTTATATAATTTTATTAGGAACTGTATTCGATGACACTTGGCTTCTGATTCTGATATCATCCTGCGTCGGTGTCATTTTTATTGGAGTAGTGCTCGCGACATTGCTCTTAAAGTGTAAATTGTAAGTATATCTGTTTATTTTATTAACGGAAATTATAATTTTACATTTTTGATAAAAAATGAAACAAACGACAAATTATTATCCGTTATAGCAATAGGAATGGAAAAAGCGGAGTGATCTCTATGCCAAATGCAACTTCTGGAATGCAGGCAAAAAATGGCAGGCTCCAGAATGAGGCAGTACTTTATCCGTGTACGACCGATACCATGCAAGACAGTCGAGTCATGTGGGCCACTCTCACTCCACGTGGTACTACGAGACATTATTTAGAAGAGCACACATATGAGACCATAGGGGGTGGACAGTTCCACAAACGTGCCTGTGCGACTACACCAACCGAACATGTAAAACTCAAGGCAATTTAACAATACGTTTGTATTATATTACAATTATTCATATGCAAGATCTCAGATATAGTGCAACACTTCATTTATGAATATTTTTGTTCCTTTAGCTTTCTTTGATCAATTTGCAGTTGATTTACTTTAGTAAAGATATAATTTTTTCAATTATTAACATTAAATATTTTTGTTACGAATAATTACAAATTTCTATATGTAAAAAAAGTAAATTAAATTAAAAATCAAAATGATATCAAATGAAATTGTATGAAGTTAAACAAATAATGTTTGTTTGCGCTTTTTGAAGTTTACAATTAGTCTCAATAATTTGAAAACTATTGGCCCCTCGATATCTGTTTTAGGAAATAAATAAAAGAGATGCTTAATCAATCTATGTAAAACTTCTTATAAATTACGTTCCATTAGAATCTTACAACTAGTTTCATTTATAAATAAATGAGAAACAGAGAGATTTAATTCATAAAATAGAAATTGTTTTATTTTTAAATATCTTTTCCTATATCTCGCTTGTTTTCTTGGTTAGAAAACAAATAGTAAGCGTTTATTAAAGCAGAGAAATTATTTGTTATACATATATTTTATTATTTTTTAATTTATTATTAATTCCACATGAGAAATTAATTTTATTTTTAATTAATTAATTAGTTAATTTTATTTATGCTTTTTAACAATGTATATTTTATAGTTTTGATGAAAGATTTAAAAAAATCTCTCTTTATCTTAGAATTAATTAATTTTTGATAAATTTTACTTGTTAAATTTTAACGTAAGACAATTAATGGACATTTAATGTAAGACAATGGGTAATCTAATGTTATGGATTCATTTCAACAGATTATTTTATATGTAGAATATGTAAAAACATATACGTGAATATAAATTAATAATCTTCTAGACATATGCCGATCCACCAGCTATTACTCCAGTGCAAAATCGACCAAAGGATGATAAAGCTTTCGATAACACTGCGTTTGTAGATTATGAGGAACCTCTATCCATCAAGACCGAGTATTATCAACTCAACGATGTTCTAGAGCCAAATGAATCTGGTAAAGAAAGCAAAAATATTAATTAAACATTAATTAATAATATTAAACATTTTAAGAGCATATATGCACTCTTATATCAATTTTTATATGATATATGTTTTCAATATATAAAACACTGTAGAAAATAATAAATATTATTCCGTTTATTAATATCACCTTATTAGAATATAATGTTAACTATTTCAATCAGATATTTTAATTCCGTATAATTTAAAAATATGTAAAGAAACATACATATAGACATATATGTATGACAATATAAATTTTAATATTCTTGAAATAAACAATATATTATTGGCCTTTGAACGTATTATTTTAGGCATACTTACAATTCAGAGAGGAACTCTCCGTCCACGCGTGAGTTCTCCGACGAGAATCGAACATCCGAATTTACCTCCGTTGAATCTTCATCCGCATAAACGTGCATCTCGGAAGGGTTCCGGCCCGCAACATGCTTCAGATACGCTATTGAGAAGTAGCATCACGTCATCCACTTACGTACCTACCATATAAGTATTTCGTCCTCTTTTTGTTATATTATACCAATAAGCGAAGTTACACATTGTGCACCTTTTACATCTGTTATATCATCGTATCTAGTCATTGTAAGCACATACTGACTGTATAAGTCAAGTAAAAGACGCGTAGTCGTGAGAAATTCTTTTTTATCGATTGATATAAAATTGTGATTGTGATTGTGTAGATGTAGGTGTAGATTAAATAGAATAAATAATGTATGTTACATTTGCATCTTACGAAATAAAGCAATGCATATAGCAAAATGGTGCTTATCTCCACATATTAAAAAAACTAATATTAACTATTAAAACACTTTGTACAAGTAATGAATTTTTGAAAAAAAGAATTGTAAAAAAGGTTTGTACCTTTATTTTTACCCGTTTATTTTAGTACATATAAATTTTTTAAAATCTCTGTTCAGAGAATTTTTATTTTTCAATTTCAAGAATATTTCAGAGCAGCTGAAATTAAAAGCGAAATTCTATTCAATCAGGGTAATGCATTTCGTGCAGACAAAAAGGATACGCCGAAAGGGATAAAACGAATCTCTCTCTCGTGCACAGTTTCAATACTTTATTCATATAATTTCGTAGTTACGGCATTATTCCTATATATTTACAATGTCCCGGATTTCAGGAAATCTTTGTAATGCGTCAGTGCGCGCACTACGATACTCACATGTGTATATGCGTGTGTGTGTATCTGCACTCTCTCCTTTCCTCTTAACGTGAAAATGTATCGTCTTTGAAGCTGATGAAAACACTATTTCACAATATTTAACTGATATGACAAACTCGTTTCTAAACTTCCTTCCACGTCGCGATCATGGATTTTCTTATAATAATACGAATGCATAAACCCTATCGCTTTTCCTACTGTAAAATCGCATAAATATAAAAAAATAGTCGTTTTACTCAGCTCCGAGCATCTTTTTGCGACTGTAAACTATATACCGGGCGAAATAATAACACGATAATCACGTGATTGCGAGGCCCAGCTTAAGGTATACACCGCTTAAGAATGCAAATGCTAACGAAACGAGACTCTCATCTGCTTGCCTTAACGTGTAAAAAATCTAAATGCACCACGTACGCTTATATATATCCCATATTTATCCCATTTTACCTATATTTCATATAATCTGAAATAGAAGGGCTGATTTCGATCTCGCGGTGTTAACGCAACGGCACTTCTCGTGTTGTGCAAAGAAAAAACGAGCTGAGATTCGATCGATATTTTATATAGCTTCTAGAATATACCTTATACTTCGAATATCCCTTCATTGCTCGTAAATAGACAGCAACGGAGATTTTAAAAAAGCAAGAGCTCAAACTGATACAATTTCGGTGAATTCAAAATTTCCAATATTGAAAATATCATCACCATTGTCTGATCCTTTTTTTCTTCTTTACAACAACTCGCAGTGCCATTTTACATTTAACACTCGATCTGCTTGATCTGGCAAATTCTCGCTGATCGGGATCAGCCTCTTGCGCACGCGTGTATACATCTCTATTATACATACATGTAACGTAGAAATTCGCAGTTAACAGACAACAAAAGTGTGTCTGTTCCTGTGGAACTTCGCGCAGGATTCACTTATACCTAACATGTCTCCTTCAGCTATTCTTCCTTTTCCATATCCGTCTCTCTTTATTTCGCTCACACGCGAAGATAGTTTACTATCTACCTATAGTGCGTTCGTATATGTAGGACTGTACAATGTAAAATATAATTCCATCTAACTATAGCAATACTAGATACAGCTATATGAGTATGAGCGTTTATTTTTGTCGTTCTTTGCTCTTATTTCGGGTATTATTGAGATTCTTTGTTAAATAGCGTTGACATTTTGGTAACTTTATGCTTTGCTCATTGCATATCAACTATAAATAAATATGCATTTCTGTGTCAACCTCTCTACATTTACTTATTAAATGTTGCAGCAAAGTGTTTATAATTATATATGTGTAAACTATTATTCTCGCTATTAATCTCATCTACGTATTCTTCAAATTCATCTTGAATTATTCTTAAAATCAAAGATATTTATAATAAAAATACATTTTACATTTTTATACGAGAAATATAACTCCCATAAATGTAAGAGAATATTTCTTATACACAGTAATAAGAGAGTATGTCTTTGAATTTTTTTATAATAACAATCGTACATTTTGCACCCAATTACTTGCTGTAATATTTAATACGAAGAGAGCTTTGAAATGCATATTTGTTTCGTTACATAAACTATAGCAAAGTTGCAATTACAAAACTCGTGATTAATTTTCATGTGATTCGAAGATTTCCATTTTTTTCACGATTTTATGTAATCGCAAAATTTTCAGCTCTTTTGTCGCAAACGGACAATTGGTAGCTTAGGTGAAGCATTTGCTAGAGCCGTCAATATTCGAGCAACTTAAATACTTAAATACTTATACAAACATATATCAATATTATAGATAATAGATACTACATATGTAATAAATAATAAGTTATTATATTAATAACAGTACTTAAATAGCAAACAATTTAACATTAATAATAAATATCTTGATTAAAACAATATTGATCTAATAATTATATAATATTCTGTAATTTTATAGCATAATATTTTTATATTTATTCACAATTTCTTCTTGATTAACGTATATATACGTATAATATATTAATAAATTCATTATAAAAAGAATATTGCTATAAATAATTATTTTTAGTAATAAGTCATTACAATTTTTATTTATTAAACTTTTATATTTAATTTGTGTATTTAATCTCTGGATACGTGCAACTATTATTATATTGTTTATTTTTAAACTTAGAAATTCAGAAATTTATTTTTTTTTTAATTGAAAAGATATGCTCTATTTAATGTTTTTTCTGTTAATTTCTGTGTAAATTTATAATATTCAAAATTCTAAATATGTACTTAGATGGAAGCTCTTCACTTCTCGTTCATAATTTTCAGCATTACAAATGTATGATTCTAGTAACACATGTAATTATTTTGTATTTTTTTAGTATTTTTTCTTTTTAAATGACTTCTACATTTCGATAATGAAGAAAATAAACGGCGAAGGTATCATGAAGAGAGAAATATAAATAATATTAGAGTACAAAGTTTGTTAATTCGTCGAATAAATTCGACTGCTCCAGCGTTTATCCGCGACATACTTTTAAGTTTGATATAGTGTATAAGTTAGTTAGTAGAGTAACACACTGCTCACTAAATATATCTTTATAGAAGTTAGTTTAATATAAACGTTAGTAATCAGAATACATCGAAGGATATGCAGATAGAGAATCAAAGGGCAGTGATAACAATATGTTTAAATTTTTGTTGTAGCACATCCTTTATTAAGGAAAGAGATCAGAAGAAGGAAAGATTTTGATGAGATGATGCCGTTTAGATGATAACGTTATGAAGATATTGTTATTCTTGTTACTGTTAGAAAAAAATTATCTAATAGATAATTTTCGTTTTACAGGAAACATCTCTCTCTTTCTCTCTCTCTCTCTCTCTCTCGGAGTAATTTAAAAGCCAGTCGATTATCGAAAACCATGCGAAAATAAAGAAATATTTTTATAAGAATATCGTTGTATTGATATATCGTTAAAACTGCTCACGCGCATGCAAAGTTCAGCCAAATATATAGAAAATTTATTAATTTACTTATTCATGATCTATGAATAATTTTAAGAGATGGGATAAGAGATGAATAATTCTGACAAATCTGGCAAAGAGAGAATTAAAATTTGTTGTGTTTTATTAAGCGTAAGAATAATCCGCGTAAAATGGATCGCAATAATTAAATGAAGCATTTTTTGCTTCAATGATAAATCCGAGCTTTTGTGTGATGAAAGATTAAAGAAGCTTTATGCGATGCAGATTACACGATTGTACACGTAGCTTATTTTCATCATCCGAATGTATGTCTCGTTAAAGAGAATTTATTCATCTCGAATAAAGATACGAATTCGAAAATGGAATCTAATTTAATGAATTAAAATATTCTCGATCGTGTCAAAATAAATCTGCGAATTAAGTTGAAAAACAAAAAGATTTCTATCACTTAAAATAGCACTCGTAGAAGAATCAAATCTTTGAAAAAAATCACAGTCAACAAATATCACATTAATAATCAATATGATGTTAATAATTAGTCAGTAATCAATTTTTCATAAAACCTTAATTAAACTTTAATCACGTCTATTGTCTTTCCTTAAGGATGATTGAGGATACGTGCATCGATTCGCGATTTGTCAATAATCTCTGTGTGGAAAGAGAAGAGAGCAGAATGAATAAATATAGGAACAGAATGAGATAGAAAAACTATCGAATACTAATAACTATGATTTCGAGATCTCGTAAAACAACGTGATATAAAGAAGAACGATTCTCTTGTAAGAAGAGCATTATAGAAATGAATCGTGATTTATAAAATATTTGAAAGCTTTTTATATAATAATTGGACGTTTTTTTGCTTTCGATTAATTACCGAGAGAGGCTTTCAATGAGCGATGTGCAAAGTACTGTTTCCATTCTTAATTATTGTATTTAATAATTACATTTTCCATCACCCCATTATTCATGCATATTGATTTGTTTCATTATTTTAATCAAATATTATTCAAAATATCAGAGATATTTCAAGAGATGATATGATATACTTAATCCATCTCTATTATTTATTAAAAAATTACGTGTTGAAAAAATTTTTAGATTTTCAGATTAATAATTTAATTTAATAGTTTAATGACTGTAATTAAATGACTGTATTGATCATTTTTAGAAGATATTAGATATTTAGAAGATATTTAGTTATATAATAAGTTTTTTCTGTAACTTAAATTACTTTTGGAATTATCAATCTTGTATGCATATATCAAAAAGACTATATTTTTTGTAAAGAATTTGTTAAACTTTATTTACAAATTAAAATATTTAAAGATAAAAAATTATATAAAATATAAATCTTTGTATAAAATTGAGAAAGAACTATATTTAAATAATTATTTAATTATTATAATTTGCATTCTAGTAATATTTTTGTAAGTGATAAAATGTAGTAAATAATTTTTAGCAATAGTCTCTCACATATATCATTATGTATTTTCCTAGAAATGTTTCCTAGTAACAGAATGTATTGTGAGAAAAATATTTAAAATGTATATTTCTTTTTTAAATATCCCGTAATTTATTCCCTGGTGTGCATTAAAATGATTATTTGCATACATATTCTCTCTCTTTTTTTTGTTCGTCCATTAAATCGATATTATTCTCAATAATATTTTTTACAATTAAAACGAAAAAGAATAAATGTAAAGAGCATAGTTAGTAAAAAAGTCCCTAAATGCGGAAAATTGTTACAGAGCAAGATTAGGATTCTTGATAAATTGCAAATCTGCGGCGGAAATAATGATTCAAGAATAAATTGCTGCTATTTAAATTAGCTTAAACATTAAATTGTTTTATTATTTATTGCTTCTTTTTCTGCGACAAATCTCTTTCTGTCGCATCTTTGCATCGACTTGTTATTACTATTAATTGTGTTAATTATAACAATTAAATAGTGTCAGTTACATTGAAATAGTAATAATCTATCTTTTATTCTTTATTTTATGACAATTATCGTAATAATAATAGTTATTAGGAAAAATAAAAATAAATATAAGTTACATTTTTAAAAGTTTGTCACACATTTTTTCAATTTAATTAATAATCCTTTTTCTATTTTAACTGTATTTTGTATCAAATATATCAAGTTGCAAATGATTATCAAGAATTATTTCCAGCAAATAATTTAGTTTAGTTTAATCAAATAGTTAAAATTATTTTTGTTTAAGTTTTTCTCACGTTTCGTTCACAATTCAATATTATTCGATCCTGCAAGCATATATTCTATAATAATAAATAAACGTTGTAAATTATCTTTTTTTCTTGCAAATTTACATGATATGTATTATTCCTATTAATATTTTGTCTTGCTAAATTTTAAATTATTTTTCCGTGAACTATAAGCATTATTTCTGTCAATTAAGTAAAAGATTAAAGATTAAAGATTAACTATGTATATATTAATATAACAATAAGTTATAATAATTGGACGAATTCTATTTTTTTTTAGTTTATCCCATTGCTCTCATAAATAATTTTGAAAATTATTACTAATAATATTAATTTTTTTTTATTATGTATCAATTATGTTAATGTAATCTAACATTGTGCGGGGGATGATGAATTGTCTTCGAATTTTTAACATATTTCATTTAACTTTAGCTTCAATCAAATAGTTTTAAAAGATCTTTATTATCATCAATTACGTCAATGTTAATAGTAATACTAAGTTAACAACATACAGCTATATATACAGGATGTCCAAGATATTGTTATTTCATCTATAAATTCTTGTATTAGTCTGAAATTAATTTTTTTCAGTAGAAATGATGTACTTTTTAATTTAATTTAATCTAACTTAATAATTATTTTTTGTAATATCAGGAGATTAAAATATAAAAGTTTGCGCAAAAAGCAAACTTTTATTTTACTAAATTATTAATCTTACTCAATTATTGAAAAATACAATGTTTAAAATTATATAATTGCATAAATTACATTAATTGCATAAAAAATAGTATTTAATTAAATTTCCATTAAAAAAGATAGAGTTAGAATTTATCAAGGAATTTATAGATGAGAGAAAATACCTGATATCTAAAGCCATCCCATAAAAACAAGCGTATCGCGAATTTCAATCAGAAGGAGACAATGCAACTTGGTAAAAACGACTCGGTGCATTTGTGAATCGTCGTGCAATTAATGCTCGACGTCATTATACGACGGTCAAACGTTATCTAAATCATACTGACAATACTGCATTCACACCCTGTATTTATATATAAGCATATTTGCGTATGCTATAAATCATCTATTCGTTAAGTTTATCTTTTTTTCTCTCAAATTACTTACAGATACTTTCCATATGTATAAGAGTTACTTAGGGTCACTTCAAGTAAATTTTGATTAATTTAATCAAATAATATCTATAGCATTTTAATATTATAATAGAATAGAATTAATAATATGTAAATTATTTGAAACATGAAAAACTAAATTAGATTAGAAATGACGAATGATAGTTAAAATTATATAGCCAAAAATTTTATTGTAGGCAATTCTGTTGGTTGAATTAATTACCGATTAAGTTAATTGATATTTGATAGAAGTGACCTTTAAATATAACGTCGCGTAAACATTCGATTGTGCAATATGATTGAACGAGGAATATCAATCGTGTTTATTAGCAAATAACGTGCATGTACAATTGTTATTTGAATTACATTTAATATTAAAATTTTGAAAAATTAGCAAAAATAAAACTAATGAATGTAGAGTGCGAAAATTGCTAAATCTTTCTAAGTAGATTCAGAAATATAATTAATATTATGAAACAATAATTAAATAATCTTAAATAATAATCCCATACTTTTAGATTATTTTATTAATTCTTCGTAAATTAGTTACCATTTATTATTTATATTAAAGGATATATATTGAATAGACTTAAGCCATAGTTAAATAGTTTCAAAGGTTATGTATTTATGAATTTAGATAAGAATAATGGTTTTTCTTCTGTTCTATTTGATCACGTCATTTTTTTTAATTTTGTGACATGCCTAAACAATATACTTTTCTTGCAGAATTTAGCTATTCTCTTTTAGCTATTCAAAAATTTCAAAAATTTGCTATTATTTCTTATAAAACTAATAAAAATGTTTTATATAAGATGGAGAATCTTATTTATAAAAATCGTTTTTTGAAAGTATAATACATATTATCGCTATTTTTTTATAATAGTTTTTCAAAAATTTTTAAAATTTTAAAATCTTATTTTTATAAGAATTAAAATGCCGAGATTATGGCATTATTATTTAATGAAATTATTTAATGAAGTCAGAATGAATTCCTGTTTGCAAATATGTATAGTACTATATAAAGATAACATACGCGTATAGTGATAAATCTATATGTTTCAATATTCCTCATTAAATATATTTCACATTCGAATCGTTTGAATGGAACTCTTATGTGTTACGTGTTCTTTATTTAAAACAGATTTTGATAAAATCTATTTAATTTGTTAAACAATTTTTAGGGACGCATAACATAATCGGTAAATATATATATATGTGTGTGTGTATGTGTATGTGTGTATGTCATATACATATATATATATATATATTTTTTTTTTTGCTTTTCTATACAACAATGAATGTGTGAATAGGACAGAATAGGATCATTAGATCACGATATTTTCGTCTCTAACGTTTCACTTTCAACATCTTGTTTTCACGAAGATTGCGTCGAGAATGGAATACATTTTAAGTTTCTATTATAATAAAAACATTACATATATGTATAAATAATATTTAGAAACTTATTAGTACCGAATTGACTAAAATTTATTCAGAAATATCACATTTTATAGTTTATTTGTTATAGTTTATCTCCTAATTTATTAATATTCATATTCATTTTTCTTAAGTAAAAGACAATTTTCTGTAGTAACAATTATATAATATTTTTATAAGAATCTTGTCCTTATATATTTCAAATCAAAATAAATAATATTTACATTTTTCTTATATAAATTAAATAAATTAAAAAATAAATTAAGAATATAAAATACATTATTTTCTGTAACGAAACATCAATTCTTTTAACATTTTACACAATAACAAGCTATAAAATCTTATATAAATAAATAATGGAAATGCACAATTTGTTTAATTTCTTATTTGAAATATCACTTACTACTTATTTAAAAAATCGTACAAGTCACTCAAACAATAGCTTATCATTTAATTCTTAAAGAATAGATATAACATGAAATCGCTTTAACTATAGAAATTAATATTTTTTCTCGACGCTCTTAAGAATCATTTAATGCCACATTCGTAACAAAAGATGTTGGAAGTAAAATCCACAAAACAACAATGTATAAATAACCTATTATCGGTGCAAGTTGCTTCCTAAGATCTGTTCATTAATCACTGTTAATATCACCTTCAATGTTCTTTTCTTTAATTAATTCCTACTTTTAATTTCACGATCTTCGCGTTTATTTCATCCTCTTTGTTTCTCTTCGAAAAGTCGTTCTAGATAGAGGCAAGAACCATCTTACGTGGAACAGTGCCTTGCTCGCAGATACTGTTTTCTTGTCTGCTTGCGCGCGAATCATCTTTCTGCCTTTAATTATAATACGAATCAAAGGATCGAGTAGCGCCGCAAATGTCATTCGATTGTGGCTCAAAAAAATTCGTGACAAATGAAAATGAAGAGAAGATCCTTTCTCAAGATCCTTTACGATCGATACTCGATCCTTGCCATATGTCTAAATTTTATCCTGAGATTTTGTGTCGATGGAACAAGAGAAGCGGTGCTAGATCGCTGATCGATATATCGCATTGGCTCTCTTCGCGAGAGTAAGCAGTTCGAGGAGCTCTTCCGAGATTGATCTGCCTTAATTTGCATTAGAATTAAAGGGAGTTTTTTATAATTACGATCGATACTTCGTTATGCTTTTCTCGAGGAACGAATACGTCCTTTCGTCTGAACATACGACCTATCGATTCCAATTTTAAAGCAAGTCTTTAAGAAATACATTTCATCCAAGGATACTTGATCTCGATCACCGATCGATCTCTCGTGCGCATTAGATTCTTCTCGGAATCGTCGCAGAAGAGTATAAAAGGATTTTAAAGCACGAAAGGGGATGTCTTTTCAAACATGCCCCTTCAGCTGTTTCGGGGATCGCACGCGCGATTGTTTCATCGATCTCCTCAGATCTCACGAGGCGTCTTCATAAAAATTGTCTACCGCAATAAACACAGCTCGAGGAAGATTTGTAGAAGAACATTCGATCACTTGCCAAGTTGCGCGTGTACTGATCCTTGAGACAGATCCTTGAAATTCGGGATTCGCGAGATTTGCTTACTATTATAGCACACAGTTGTGAGGCAGGAAACAACTTTTCGATAATGTTCGATCAGCTCACGTTTTTCCTTTGCACACTCGCGATATCAAGACCGTTTTAGGGGAGGGATCGCCCCTCTTAATCCACGATCTTTCCCAACGATAAAACATGAAGGATGACGAAAGACGCGAGTATGTCTTCGGGCCTCGATACGCAAAGCAATGTCTCCGCAGTGTCGACGATTCTTTACACGTACCACTCTTTAATGTCTATCAGTTCTCGTTTCTTGTTAGGTTTGCTACCGTTGGCGCCGTTCTTGAGGGCACCATTGAAGGGCTGACCGGAACCAGCGGCGCCCAGCAAAGCCGCGTTCGGATCCTGACAGAACGTCTTAGTTTCGTCCACCTTGTAGCTCGTCTCTGGCCGGTTCTTGAACTTGAGGATTATCAATATGATGAGGACTATCGCTATCAGCGCGGCAGCTATGATGCCGATTATGAGTGCGGCATTTTCGGCCGCTTCAGAAGTGATTCGCTTATTGTTGTTTTTGGGCGGAGTGGGCATCGGCGGATACATTGGTGGAGGAGGCGGTGGCGGCGGTTCCGTCATCTCCGTCGTGGTTGACTGCGTTGTCACGGTTGTCGATCGATGCGTCACGACGCTGCTGCAAAGTGTAACGACAATGATTTGTTAAATTATTGTTTGCTTAATTCTTACGCGTCTAATTAATCTTACAATTAGATAATCTAGAATGAATCGATGATGTGAAACACTTTCGATAACGATTTTCCTGTCATTAGACATCAAACGAATGCACGGTCAGTTTGTGAGACTTTTTTTATTCCCGTAAATTAACGAATAATTTTTCGTGCATTTTTTAACATTTATTAAATTCAAATTTTTGATTAAATATATTTCATTGTTCTTGTTAAAAGAGCGATACAATAATCTTATATAGTAAAAATAATAAAGCAGCTAATGAAGTATTTAAAAAATTTCACAAACTGTTTAAATATGTGTGTATATATATATATATATATATATATATTTTACATAATTTTTAAATTTGTATTATCTCCCTCTCTCTCTTTCTCCTTTTCCATTTAAAAATTTATCCTATCAATTGAGATTTGTTTTGTTTTAATCTATAATATAATAAATTTTTTAATCAGAGATCTTCTTTAATATATCGCAACAAAATATCTATACATAAAATAAATATTTTTGAAATTTTTTTTCATATAAATATGTGTTAATAATTAATTAACAAAAAATAATCCAGATCGTACATGTTCCACGTGTCTTGATAGTTCCAAGCGGAAAGTGCACAGTTAGGAGGTTTTGCGGTCACCAAATGTACATGTTATTCCTATGAGTACTAATCAATGGCAAATAATCAATAATTATAATAGAAATGACGTCGTGTAGGTACAATTGCGGACGTTATCGCTGACAGACGCACGCACCTGCCATGGCTGGTCTCGAGGTCTGTAGTTGACACATTGTATTGGACGGAGACGGTGACGACGTCGCGGCTCAACGTTGTCGACGACGCTGACGATGTTTGTGTGCTGGTATGGCTCGTCGAGTACTCGCGAGGCGTCGTCACCGAGCTGATGTCTGCGAAAACAGAGGAAAAAAATGTGCGTCAGGGGGTCGTGTTGTACCTCGTTGTATCGCATCCGCGCAGAGGGGATGATCCAGGGAGAGATGAGGAGGGGGATGAAGAGGGTAGAAAAGCATGGAAGTAAAAGGGATGGACGGGATATGAAACGTGGAGGCGGCACAATATTTACGCGTGCGTAGGCCTGCAATATTCACGCGTGCGTAAGCAGGAACGTTGCGAAACGAATGGTGCCGAAGGCACCAGGAGCGTATATTACATATCGAACGAAAGACGCTCACGCACAATAACGCAACACGTTATCTACTCAAATATCGTTGGATATAAATATGTTGCATTTTACTGTTGTAAGTTGAGATTTTAGAAAGATGTCGAGAGCTCTTAAAACGAAACCTCTGAGAAATGTTAGAATAGAAATCGTTAATTAAATATCTCTAATCTTAATATATTGACACATATAATATGATTTTTTATTCATATATTTAATTATATTTTGTATTTTCTAACAAAAAATGATTTAAAGTAAGACTGTTTTGTTAAGATTTTCCGCAATAACGTAAAATTCATTAGATGCGTGCTGTATAAATGTAGGAAAAAAAGAAATTGTGCATATTACGATAAACATATTTTGTTTGCTTTAATTACACTTCTTATAAAAATTTTCTATTATTTCAGGCATCAATAAGAGAATATTTTAAATGTTTAAAAATATTTTTATATTTTTTTGTATAGGATTTCGTGCCTGCATATTGATTTCTCTTTTACATACATATTATGTACTAGACATACTATTTTATAATCACACATGAAAAACTTAAATTGCGCAGATGTGAAAAGTGCAACGGAGAAAACTTTAGCTTAAATATCAAACTCGAAAAAAATATCTCAGAGTTTTAAATTCGTTTTTACACGGCTTCATGCTCGGATAAAATTAAGGACAGTATCTCATTCTCATGCTAAAACGGGGCGCAAGTATTGCCACTGGAAAGCATCTCCTGGTAGCAAAATAGTGCTATTTTCATGTGGGCGACAATATATACGTCACAGAAAGTCGGGGTGAGAGAACGCCCACGTTGTAATTTCTCGCAACGAAAAAGATTCTTAAAGTTGATGGATAAGAATAGTAAAATCGATTGATGCTCTCACGAAAGTTAATTAATCTTGTTTTCGATTAAATTTAGAAGCAGCCTGTCGTCTTTTATATAACGATTGAGAAGGAAAAGATATGTGTCTCAATATCATTTAAGAATGCATTATGATACATCAGCTATAGTTATAAATTATGTTGGATTTATATAAGAAATCTAATAATGTAAATTTTGATTAGGCTAAGAGTGTGATATTTTTAATATTATCTTTATATTAAGAAAAAGCATTATATAAGAAGATTGTTAAAATGTGTACATCAATGAAAAATTTTAAAAATGTTTATATATATTCTAAAAATCGTATGTAAAGAATATTTGTTTAACGATTTTCAAAATAATGCAATATTAACTCTTATACTCATAATTTTTTAAATATATATAAAAAAAGTTTTGTTCATCCTGAGATTTTTAATTTAACACTTGGTAAATCTTATTATGTTAAATCTTTCACTTATGTCTACTAACAAAAACTTATTTAATTTTTATATTATTATAATTATATGTACACTAGCTTATTTCTACAAACTGTCTTAATGCATATTTATTTAAAAAATAAAGATTATGTGTTTTATAAGAAATTATCATACGAAACTTTCTATAACACATATTTTTCATTATTTAAAGACAGATTTATAAGGCTATTTGAGAAAAATAAGCTCTTTATATGTATGGTATTATCATTTTAGTTTTAAAGTTGCAGAATTTGAGATATTGCGTTTTTTGAATTTTGTAGTTTAAATTAAAGAAAAAATGTTAGGAATATATCAAGCAGAACAAAGGTCTGGAATACAGACCGGTGGTCGATGTGACAAAAATCTCTTCCGTTGTTCTGGAATCGCCTGATCCCTCCTCGCAGTCTTCCTCATCGTCACACGATATTTTCACTTGGATGTTCTCCTTGTGAAGCTTTGGCCTTAACGTTGACGGCAGTCGTGTGGACGCGACATACACTGGCGTGATGATGTCATCTAGAAATAGAAGCGACGTAATTATCAAGACTGTGAACGTGAGGCCACAATAACGTATAATATAACACGCCATTCAATTACGGTTCGATATAAAATTTCTTATCGTATAATATTCAATATCCATGCATAAAAAGTTGATCATATTTTTCTTATTTAATTCTATCGAAATTTATTTTTTATATTTTAATATAAATAATAATTAAAGATAATAATTATTATATAAATGATAATTAAAGATAACAATTATTTCTCGATTATTTTGAAAATAAAGGATTATGATGATGTGTGTAAATGTATGTTGATTAATATAAATTTTCTTGAGAAGTGAATTTAAGCCCAATCGCACAGAAAATTTTCGTGCGAAGCAATTGGATATTCGGTTATCATATCTCATTAAGATGACGATATTAATTTAGTTTTTAGTCAGTCGAAGAAGATTTTGGAGCGGGGCTTCAGTCTGTTGCAAGAGGTTCGCTGGAAGGTGAAAGGAGGGGCGGACAGGCTTATCTCCAGCTGACGATCCTAAATATGTAAATGAATCGAAGATACAACCGGGCGAGCATGAAGACGAAAAGGTGGCATGCCATGCGATATGTGCGTGCCTGAGTGTGTACGTGTATGTGCGCGAACACACGCATATGAAGAATCGATGTACAGTGATGTCCCTCTAAGAGAAATTCGGAGAACAAGACTTTACAATTTTATATTAATTTTAAGAAAATTATATATATGTTAAAAAATTGAAGAAATCTATATTAGAGAGAATGATTATTCTTTCTAATATAGATTTCTTCAATCTTTTAACATAATTTTCAAAATATAAAATTTTTTAAAATATGTAATTAAACAATTTAGAAATTAATTTCTAAATTATAAATACGATATATTGAAAAAAAGTATATATACAATTATTTTATTAAGTAAATATTTATATAATTAATTCTTTTTCTCTATTTTTAGCATATTAATATAATACATTTGTTATTATCATGTCTTTTTATTTATTATACGTATATGACTCTTGATGTTGCGAAAGATTTTAAATGCTAATTATTATTAAACACATTTTTAGTTTATGTACAATAGTTTATATATTTTTATCATTTCAAAGACGTAGATATCGTAACATTTATATATAATAATCGATCAATAAGATAAAAAAATAAAAATAAATAAAATTTAGTCGAAAAAATAAAGTGTAATTTATAATTAATCAAATTTTATTGTATTAAATAAGAAAAAAAATGTGTGGTAAGTGTCGCCAAATGACGACAGTGCCTTACCATTACATATGTTGTCCGTCCTTGTCTAGGGGAGTGCTAAACATCTCTCCTTTCATACAACACGGTATACAGATCGATACGTTCTTCCTTATATACGAAGCGAATGGTTCATGAGCGCTCTCGAGAAAGCTATTTTTCGTGAATAATTTCTAAACTAATAATTTTATCGCAAAACTATAAAGGAAAATTTTGTTGTTAATATTATAATGTATCTTTTTATATAAAAATTATCTATGTACATGTAGATCCGACATATGCTATATATATATATATATATATATATATATATATATATATATGAGATATATACTATTATACATATAATTAAAACTATATTATTTTTATTTTATTTTTAAATGTGATCTTTATATTTTAAGATTTTTGGTTTAACTTCTTATCGCTTTTTATATTCTAATTAATTGACCGATTTCTCCATACACTGAGATATTTATGTATAATTAATAGTAATGTTAAATACGTTTTTCATGTTAAAGATATATTAAAGATTAAGATTAAAGTATCATATATAGTTTCGAGAAAAGTTTTCGTGTTTAATGTGCAAAAACTGATTGACAATGACAAAAACTTGCAAGATTATATATTTATATTATAAATAATATTATTCCATATATTATACATACACACATATGTAGAAAAATTTATCAATAGCTACAATGAACAAATAAAATGAATAAATAAATTTGTCAAAATAATATCTAAAATATTTTTAAAGTCTAATAATAAAACTATTATTTATTAAAAAAGATAAATTGAATTGTTAATTTTTATATCATAATTATTATCATAAAATGTGATTACAGAAAGAACGAAAAAAATCATTGAGTTAAAGCAGCATAACTGATGGGAATAGGAAAGATGTACATATGTATGTTAATGTTAAAAAAAGATTAAAAATTGAAAGTAAGAAAAAATATCGGAAAAATAAAAAAAATGAAATAAAAATAAAAATTAAAAAAATGTATGTATGTATATCTATAATAAAAAATGTATGTATGTATATTTATAATCGAAGAGATTGATACTAATATCTTTTTACATCTGACAATGAGAAGAAAAATCTTTATGATGCTCATACTTATAAATTATTGACAAAAAACTTTCTCACACATGAAATCTGTACATACAATGTTATATCGGTGAAAGTATGCGAAACATTATAATTCATTGAGATAATAATTACAAGACAAGTGCACGTGGATAAAAAATTTCCTCGTAAGAAGACACGTGCAAAACGGATTTATTACTTACGCTCTCGGAAATGTTACTTACACTTACCGGAACCAGACTCGTAGATTGGAGTGCATTCCTCGTCCTCGTCATCGCCAGCGCAACCGCTTCCGGCGCCGGAGAATATAAGATCATCTACGACGCCGGGAAAACCGGATGCAGGCGTCTATACATACGTATCAAATTATAATGCCATTGAACTTGCTAGGAAATTACTGGGAAGTGAGATTATTAAGAGATTTACTACCTGTTGCATTCTTTGTAAAGGTGCGGCGCGATCGAGAAGACTTCCGGCCGGTAAGAGTTGCACATCTCCTCTAGTTATAACTTTGCCATCTTTGGCTGCGGCCAGCTCTAAGATCTTCGCACCATTAACGACCAAGCCGGCTATTACTCCCAAGAATGGCCTCTCCACTCTACCCTTGCTGCGATTCCATCGACCGCCTACTTGAATAGTAGACTGGCTGTTGAACACTGTCAGTTGATGACCTGTGAAAATACATAAATTAAAAAATAGAATTTAAAATTATTTTCATCAAACATTTTCATCCTATATTATTATTTAATTATTGCCAATTTTTTTAATAAAATTGAAAATTACATATGTATTATATTTATGTGTATATATACTCGTATATATACATATATATATATATATATATATATATATATAAATGTATATGTATATTTTATATGTATATAAAAATTTTCTTTTTTTATCTTCCTCTGTTCTTTCTCTTTCTTCTCTTATAACTTGAGAAAAAAGGTTCGGACAAAAATATGTATTTAATTCATTAGATGAATGAGACTGATTAACCAAATAAAAAATATTTTAATCCTTGCTATTAAATTTGCTGTTAAGTTAATATGGTATTTTTAAAAATTCTTGTATTTATGTTTTGATTTACGTCTCTATTTCAAACACATTTAATTTATAATTCAGATGCTCGAAACATTTCGTGAAAAAGATCCATGTAACGAATGTATTTCAAATATTTTTATACTCTACGTGTTTCATGCATACGTAATTAAAATATTAATATCGTTTAATGGACTTTCTTTTAAAGAAATAATTTTTCTCTCTTTCAGTTATAATTATAAAATGTACACTACGATAAGTTTATTCCAATATATAAAAGATATTTTTCAATAGCCAAAAGTGGATCATTGAAAAATTATTTTTATACTCTTTCTAGTGTGTGTGTGTGTGATGCAGTTAACTGTTTGCTTGCTACGAGCCAAAGATAGGCAACAATAGCCAACTTGATTAAATATATATGCCTCTATTTTATCCAACTTATAAGAGAGGTGTAAATAATTATTATGTAAGGTGTAAATAATTCTTATGTGTGTAAATTATTATGTTTGGAATTATTTATAAGGCCAACTCTAACGTCACTGCAATGTCAGAGCGACCCGTGGCAAGGCCAGAGCAAGCTCCAGTCCACCGCCTGATTTCAAAAATCGCTTTAATATTCTGAATCCCCTGTGGGGATTGTATCAGATATTAAGCTGATAAGAACAGATACTACACATTTGATCTTAGCTCAGGTGAGCCGAGAAGCGATGCCACACCATTCTCCTGCACGCCTTATATACAATTTGGGACGAAACTTGAATGCGAGAAAGTTACATCACGTTGTGGTGAATGAAGTAACTAGAAAAAGCGGTCGATTCGAATGTCTTCCCCGTATGGTGCGTGTCGATTATGGGCTCCCTACTCCATACCTGAGAGCACGTGGCTCTATCTACGTACACGCGGTGCGATTTCGTATTTTTCAATATATAGATGTAATCCAGTTTCTTTCGCTCTCTGATGACGTACATACAGTTTACATGCGCTTAACACTTAACACTCGTGCTGGCCAGGCATAGTCAGTCCACCAGCGTGGCATAAAAATGCAGCTGGTACTCTCGACGGCATCTGCGTCGAGTCTCTTTCTTGTAAGAGATGGAGCGATGATATGCAGATATGCCGTCACGTGCATATGACACTGCACTGCAACCCGAATTAGCTTGCTCGGTCAAATCGCCCGAGTTCTTTCTCGTATCGAGATAAAATCATTTACGCTGCATTCCAATCTGAAGAAGTCCAATAAACTGTATCACTTTACTAGGAGAGCATAAGCATGTTGGGTGTGGTCCCGTACATGCCGGATGCATCGGTCGAATGAGAGCCGAATCTAAGCGTGGAACCACAATTCTCGTGATCTTGTTGAGAATCAAAATTAGCAATTGTCAAATTAAATTTGAATAATAATATCGCTATTTATTCTATATTAATATGTCAGTAAAATTCTATTTTAAGATTTCGTTTAAAAAGTTTTTTTTTGTAAGAAAGAGACGTACAGTTTTAATATTTGTGTAAAGAAATGTTATGTATAGAATATTGTTGTGTCCATGAAGAATAAAATTTGATTTAAATAATATATATATATATAAATAATAAAACACATTTTTTCTCGGAAATTAACCGAGATATTATTCAATATTATTTAATATATTTCGATTTGATACGTATTCTAAGTTCGAGAATACAAATCGGAAGTATAATTAGCTCTTTCGAGACATAATCTAAATTGATAAGTAAACTGACAGGAAAGTATGATGCATTGAGAGGTGTCGAATCCGAAAGTGGGTTATGCTGTCATACTTAATGACAGATTAGACAGTAGTATTAAAATTAGCACATTCGGCTAAAGTGAATCAAAAGACGAAAATAAATATCGAGTTGCTAATCTTTGCGTTATTTATTTTGTAGGTTTAAATATTCTCACAACTATTTAAAATTTTCTGAATCTGTTTTAATTTAAATGAATTAAATTTGTATTGTTATGTATAATTAATTGCAATTTATAATTATCAATTTGTATTATAAATATTTAAATGTTATAAAATCGTTTATTAATACGCGATATTAATAAACGGTGTAAATAATCAAACAAATATGTAAATTGAGATTATGGTATAGTGAAAATGAATCTGTAGAAAGACATGAAATAAATATATCCTAATCCTAAAAAGAATTATAGATGAAAAGAAGATGAAAAAAGATGACATTTTATTTATAAATATTATAATTTAAATTTTCAGTTCGTAGCCAATAGAATCAAAGATGAAATCAATCCTTTTGAAATTTTATTCGAAAAGACCGAATTTCAAACGAATCTCACGGATGAGCGTTGGGAACCGTCTGGTTTCACATCGGTTTTATGGTGAGAACGGAGAATGCTGGGTATGGGAAACATCGATGATTCCCAGGCGATGGTAGCAACGTTTCTCTCGCACATAAGACGTGAACGGCGAATGTAAACGCGTCGCACGTGTATGTATATTTTAGAAGACCGGCTTGTCCGGTTGTAGCATGAGACAAATGTATAATGCGGAAATTGCAAGTTCGTATCGATCGTCGCCGAATCGTTCGCGTTATATCTTGTAGATTTGGAAAAAAAATTACAGAAAAAATAATAATAATATAAGCATTTTATTATGCTCTCAAATATTGTCCATAAAATGCTGGAGTATGCAATTAAGATAGAAATTCTATTTACTCTAAATGTTTTAAATCTAGATTGTATTAAATATAGAATTGCGTAGCAAACATGTAAAAATAATAAAGATCAAATTGCGAATTAAATTTGTGCAGTTTATAAATTTTGTCATTGATGAAATGCAATTCCATCAATCAGATGGAAAATTTGTCTCGTCTCGATTGTCTTTGATTAGTAGTGGCACGTTATCACTGCATCAAAATTAATTACTACCGAGTCATTAATCACATCTTCATTTATGTACCGGTTGACGATGAATAATGAGCCAGGAAAACCATTTTCGTATACATTCGCGCGTTAAACTAACGAGACTAGGTTAATTATTAATTTTAAGCTTTCTTCCAAGATTAGAAAACTTTTTTACTTTCATATACAAGAAATTCGAGTCTCAATTTTCAACTTTTTATAACGGAAAAGATTATAATAAATTAATATAATAATAAATTAAATAATAAATTAATTTTTATTATCAATTAAATAATTAATTATGATAAAAAAAGTCATGATATGTATGACTGTTAGATATACCTTGTCAGATACATTCATATACACACGCTTTAATTTCTTATAATTTCTAGAATCTATTATGTTGGCGAAATAAAATTGCAAATACTTTTATCATTTAATTTTGTTCGAATTTTTCTTTATAGATTTTTCATATGAGAATTTCTGAATTATATATATATATATATATATATATATATATATATATATATACATGTGTATGCGAGGATATTTCCTCATCTGATGCTTCGGTTAACAAGAGCAATAAAGCGCGAAGACGCCGCGGGAATCGGCCGGTCGTCGAGAATCCTGTCTGGTAGGTTTAAAACGACCTTCAGACTCCAAGGCTGTTCCTAGTGCACGAGCGTAGCTTAGGCCAACTGCCATCTCACGATGTTCGCCTGGTTCTTCTAAACACGTAACTTAGAATGATGCTAACCTGTCTGTGACGATACGAGTCTATCGCGCTCATCGTCAAATATATTATTAGTGTTATTATTGGCATGTATAACAGTTCGCGGAGTTCAAAAAAGCGACGAAGGCATAATTTTTTGCACTCATGTTTTATCTTTATGCATTACAGACTGTCAGCAATTAAAATTTGATAAAGAAAAATTTAATTAGCACGTTTTGAACTGGAAGGAAATCGTCCTTTAGGGAGAATAAATAAATGTATATGCATAGAATATGTAAAATAATAATATATACGAGCATCTTTAGCAAGTAATGTTTCAAGATCAATTATTTGCTAAATCGGACATTAATTAATTAATTTAAACTTTATTAGATTACAATAGTCTCTAATTTGAAAGGAAATTTTTTTTAATGCGTCGAACAAAATTGATCTGTGTTAAAAGCATATTTCGATCATCTTCTAGATTTATCAATAAAAAAATAAAAAGTTTTTTGTGGTATGTTCATATATTAGGTCATTTCATAAGTCCCAGCATAAGTGTGGCCCATAAAATCGATGTCAGGTTTAAGGCGGGATCCAAAAAATGTTTTTAGAGTCAAAGAATCCCGAAATCGTGGGAAAAGAGTCTCATAGTGCGGTATAACGCTCGTACTGTCGGCTTTCCCATGACGCCGATACAAAAAATAATAAGATTTCGGAGGCGCGACGCAACGGCAAGATTCGAGCGTGAGAAGATGTTGAACTTGGGGCTGAAATCGTCGCTTCGTGTAATAGGCATGTATCAGCATGTAAGAGCGATTCTCACGTCGTGTCCTTTAAAAGGTTCTTTATATCTTTAGCTGCAATTATATAGAATTCGTTATCATTAATGATAATTCTACGTGAGAGTAATAAATCGCAGATATAGAGTAAACTTTTTTCACGCTTCGTTCTTAAGACGATTTTTGAAACGAAATCTATGATTTTCCTTTGTCACATTTTGAATTAAATAATTTATTACAAATATTTTACGATATAAATTATGCAAAAACTCAATAATAATTATCGAAGTACAATCTTTCTTCCATTGATAAAATAGAAACGCGCGAATTGCTTTCTAGAAATAATAGCGAGAATTAAATCCTGGAGAGAAAATTCGCTAGTTAAGTCGGTTTTATCAAGATATTTTAATCTCTTAATTCTAATTTTGTTAGTGATTTTTACTGCAGGATGTATCAAAAGATACAAAGATTCCAAAAGATTACGAAATCTATCGTGATTTATGTAGATCGTTTAAAATAGATGTGACAGTTCAAGAATACACTTGTACCCTTCGCACACAGCGATGATCTCAAGAGAACGACGTCGCGCGCGCTTCCCGCATTTTCTCACGAATTCCAGACGCAGGCTGATTCCCACAGGCTGATCGCACTAACGTGGGACAAACCGTCCCTGAGGCCAGCCAAGCGATCTGGTTCGGTAGTAGGCTTGTAGACGAGCGAAAGAGTTTCGCGGCGATTCGCAGCTTGCGTGTTATTCTTATTTATTTGAGTAAATTGGAGCTCACTAGTACTTCAGGATAAGATTAAGAAAAATGATATAACTCATCTGCAACAATGCATATATTTTTTTTACACGCCGAGACAAGGATATTTCCTGTTATTCTTCGTGAATAGGATAGGATTCGGCGACAATATAATCGATTTCGTCGAGCTGTACAATTAGAAGTCAGAGAGGAATGGATCATGATAAGGGTCAAGTTTTACGATGGGGCATTCAATTCGAAAGGTCGGCGATCTTCGACATCGGGGGTTAAATGGCTTAAAATGACCAGTACTCGGATGGAGAGAAGATGAAAAAGAAAGACAGTGAGAGCAAGATAAAGCAACATCCTGGGACAAGGTTGCTTCTTCTTAAGCCAATTAAATTGTTCCCACGGGATCGCACCGTGGGAGAGTCTCTCCAGGAACGCGAGAATACGAGGCTCGGGACTGCCAGGACTTCATCCGCTCTCAGGAAGTCTTCCTGGACCTAAATACTTATTTACTTGAGATTTGCATGATTTTTCTTATTTTCGTATTAATTAATTAATTATTTCCAATTAATTAATTTGACATAC